AGCCAACTTCTATCTAAAGTGACTTCAGCCTTTGTATGCTGCTGACCAGATCACCCTTATAAAAGAGACCTTGATCTTAATGTGTTTTATTTTTTTATAATTGATTAAAGGTTAATGAAATAAAATAAATGTAGAAGATGAGTGTATTTGAACTTCTAAAAGAAAAAAAGAGACTAATTTCATTGAATATAAAAAATAAAATAAAACATATTTTCATTTAAAGCTGCAGAGAGCCATTTCTCCTTCCCCACCCCCTCATCTGCTTGCCCTTGCAGCAACACACTTGGTCAGACATGGCAGGCCATCAAAAAATCTACTTGTTCCCACTCCATCTGTTAAAAAAACTATTAATCTGCTGCCGTCCAATAAAAGGCTCGGCCCTCACGGTGGAGCCAATAGAAAGGCATTAAAGCTTTGAGAGCCAGGCCAATCCCAGGCTGCATTCTAATGTGGGACATCTTTATCAAGGTATCAGTCCATTTCCACATTCTGTGTATTTATGATTTCTGAGGAGAGAGCCTGCAGAAGGCGCATCTGTAAGACAACTAAGATCTGTTTCCAGAAGGCTCAGCCAAGACTTTAGATATGGAGTTATCCAATAGAAAGCTGTGGACGGGTGCCGCCTGGTTTATTTTTAAGCAACTTTAAAAGAGTTGAAGGTTAAGTTTGCAATTTGTGGACCTATTTTTTAAGAATCCAGTTGTGGTCCAGAATCTAGACGACGCTTGGGGCTGTCAAAGCTTTCCGTGTGGCCACCAGAGGCCTTCCCAAGCTTGGATCTTATTGGATGTGTTCCTGACATTTGGAAAACGATTTTGAGAAACTCCCATGGATCCGAATATCCAGGGGTCTTTCCTCTTTAACAACAGCCTGAACCAGTTCCCCTCAGACCTAAAGGCACCAGTGTGCCAGTACTCAGTTCCCAACTCCTTCTACAAACTCAACCCGGGCCTCAACACCCAGCTGCAACCGGGGACGCCCCACGGCATCAGCGACATCCTGAGTCGATCCATGGTGGGGGTCGGCACTACCGGCACCACCACCCTGCTGTCAGGATACTCCCCCATGGGGGGGTTCGGTCCCTCCGTAACCAGTACATCTATGTACTACAATCGAGACTACAACCCCTCACTTGGGGGCTTCTCAAAAAGCCCTGCAGAGTGCCCGATGAAGGGTCGAAGTATGAGCTGCTGGGCAGAGAGCAGCTGTGACTGGAGAGGAGGAAGACAGCAGTGCACCGGCGGTGAGTCAGCAAAGGGTTTCAGCATCAACCTCATCATTGATCAGAAACTTTATGGAGTTTTCAGGACTAAACAAAGGCAACTATCAGGGAATCAATCAGATTTAAGGGCGTATAAGTACGATTCAGCGGTTTAACTTTTTTAAATAACCTTTAAAAACATGTACATAACTTTGTTTAAAAAAAAAATGAAGTGGTTTATAATCATCTCTTTTGCAATAAATTTAAAAAGTGCTTTTTCTGGATATTAAGCAAAATCTGCATATATATATTTATATATATTTATATATATTATTTATATTATTTTGGCCTTTTTCTTTTTAGGCAGTGGTCCGCTCGGAGAAATGCCCAGCAGGAAGAAACACACCAGACCAACGTTTAGTGGACATCAGATATTTGCCCTTGAAAAAACCTTTGAACAGACTAAGTACCTGGCCGGGCCTGAAAGGGCAAGACTGGCGTATTCTCTGGGAATGACGGAGTCACAAGTCAAGGTGAGTTTTATCATCCTTTGTAATCAAGTCAAGCTTTTTGATTAATGTGCTTGTTTGTAGTCAGAGGTCATACAGAGAAATTTCCTTTAAATGTTTTTATTGTGTGTGTTTTTTTGTGTTGATCAGTGGTGGCACTGATATGGGTGATATGGCTCACTGCCTGGGGAAGCATTTTGTAAGGGGCTGCATGAGTGATGGGAAGAAAAAAAAACATTTTCACTTTTGGTCATTCCCCAATAGAATATACTATGTGATAACATATACACAAAGATCAGCACCAGACTGAATTACTCTTCTGTGATTAGAAATTAATTCATATTCATTCATTTTTAGTGACAATTTATTTATTTAATTTGATCCTGAATTTTTTTGTTTTTATATACATTTTATTAAAACCTGCTATGTCAGCATTTATCTATATCCTTTTTTTAGCAAGTTTTTGGCATAAGTGTAGCTAAATTCATCTTGTAATTGTGGACCAGCTTTTGCATTTGGGGACCTTATAGAAGCTTTACAGATGTGGGAATATGTCAGTGTGTTTTGATGAAGAAAAGGCAACAGAAACAAGGTCTAAGAGATATCATTAGTTCCCAGTTGAAAAGCATTGCTCTTCAATAGTGTAAAGTCTTTGAACAAAACTCTGCCGTTAAGCAACATTTGATCCTGCTTAGTTTCGACTGTTACCTGCAGAACACTTGGTAAAATCAGCCTGCCTGTGTCTCAGGTGTGGTTTCAGAACCGACGCACCAAGTGGAGGAAGAAGAGCGCCTCTGAGCCCAGCTCCACGCAGGCCGGCCATATTGGACAGGGAGGGGAGACCTCAGAGAACGAGGTGGAGGATGAGGAGTACAACAAGCCCCTGGACCCAGATTCGGATGATGATAAGATCAGACTACTGCTGCGCAAACACCGCAGGGCTTTCTCTGTTCTCAGGCTCGGGCCGCACCCTGTCTGACACACACTCTACCAAACAGACCTGCATGCTGTGATTAAATAACTTTAGTTAAAGTTGAGAGAAACAAACTCAGCGTGAGCAGATAAGCTCCAACCAAGGAAGATAAAACAGTCCGAGAACAGAACACAAAGAATTCTTCTAAATTATCACAATGATTCCTCACTTATAACTGTGCAAAATCTGAATAAACATATATACAAATATATGCTGAAAAAATAATCTATAACTGAAAGCTATTTGTGGGTCAAAATAGCCAAACTTTTTAGCTCCCAATCCCCAAAAACTCTCCATTAAATGTTTGGAAAGACTTTGTTATTTGCATAAAAAAATGTAAGAGATTAAAAGAAAATAAAAAAAAGATCACCGAATATGAGTTGAATCATAATTACAAATTGTAATATAATGACTGTTTTTCTGTGTACTGAATAAAATATGTCTGATGCTTTTAAGTGAATAAATATCCTGTAAAAATGTGCAGATACACAATGTAAAATGAACGCACTTAAAACTGTGCACAATAAAAGAATAAGTTTATCAGACTTTGTGGATCCATTTTTTTTCTAACAAAGAATTTAACTGTGATAGTAAAGCCTTTATTTCTTTGTATCAGCTGTCAACTGGCAGTTAAGACAGCAAGCATTAGGGCACAGAAGCTGAGGAGGTCATAGGTCAAATCTGATGTGATTTACTCTGTCTGATGTTTTAATTGAAGACTATGGCCCCAACAAACCAGCTAAATTGAAAATCAATATTAGCACTAAAGGCTTGGTCATTGCTTTAGACCTTCCGGAGTTTCGGAGTTTGTCCTCCATATGCTTCATGCAGCTGAATGCGGCGCTGACGATGCAGAGATAGAGGCGGGGATAAGGAACGAAGCAGGGCCGATTCTAAGAAGCAGGATCTGAGCTTACAGGAATCGCTTTCTTCTTCCAGAAGACTTACTTAACTTGCTTAAGACTGCAGCTCAAGTCTGTGACTGAGACTAAGAAAACTGGACTGACAACATGTTTACAGACATTTACTGTACACTCGTAAAAAAACTTATAAACTTAAGAATCGGTTTTCATTTTACTTTCAGTTTGCATGTAATTTTTAACATATCAGTCAGTAAAGTTTTTAAACGTGTCATGTTAAATATACTCAGAAAACCTTATCAACCAAATTTGTTTTTTTTTTTTTTTTATATATATAGTTTTAACATTTATTTATTAATCCGTTGTATAAAAGATCATGTAACATATAAATTAATAAAAATAACTTTTTTGAGAAGGTTTATATTTAGTTAATTTCATTTCACTTATTTGCCCAAACAGGTGAAAAAAAATCCATGAAAAACCTGTGTTTTAATTAATGACCATTACTAAATTTGATATAAACTATCTAACACTTACATAAATCAAACATTGACAGATTTTGTTTTGTGTTTTTAGTTCCGCATATTAAAAATACAGACATTAATTTTAAGCAATTAATAATAATAATAAAGACTTAAAAAAGGGACAGAATCTTTTAGTCGTTGCAGATTAATTTATTTAGTGATTTGAATCAGTCAACAATGCATTTCTATAATTTTGGTCTTAAGATGGTAAAATAGGGAGACTGATTTTGTGGTTTTACGTGCAGATGAGCCTTAGAGTAAAAACTGCAGGAAGAAGAAAAAGTAAAAGTGAATTAAAAAATACCTTAAAAAAATGAAGATTAATACAATGAATAAAAAATATAGAAGCAAAAAGATGATCCAGTCCATGTTTGGGCCTTTTTATGTCTGATTACAAAACTATTTACTGCAATTTAAACTAATAGGGTAAAAAATAACCATAAAATCTATATTGATTGATTGACTTTATTGATCTCACAGTGGAGAAATTTGCTCATTACAGCAACTCAAATTATCAAAGAAGAAGAGGGTGCCAAAAGAAGAAAAAGGTACATGTGATATATATACAGTATATACAGTTTTTCTTTTTTTTAATAGTAGGATTATTATACAATAAAACACAACGTTTTTAAGGTTTCTCTGTCTCTTTTTTGGTGAAATCCAAACATATAAACTTTGACCAAAATGATTTTAGGTTTTCTTTTTAAAGCAAAAATATTCCACATTTAAATTTGATCAGTAAGATGTTCTAGTTATTATTTTCACCTCACATATATTTTCTTTTATTCTATATTTTCTTTATATTTTCACCAGTTTTTTAGAAACATATATTTTTCTTCATGTTAATCATGCTTTTCTCCAGGAAATGAAGAGTTTCTTTGAACATCAAAGATCCGCAACAGAACGAGGTGACGACTCAAAGACACGGAGCCATTTTTTCTTGGGTCACGCTTTATTTCCAAAAGTCAAAGTAAAATAAACATGTAGTGTCTGACTAGAGCTAACTAAAGGTAATACTGGCCTTCCAAACAACTCCACTCCTGTCACAACATTACATTAAATTACACTGGTTCAGTTCAGATGATGGAAGCATGATACATATTAAAACGTCCCTTCTGCTAATATTTAAAAATATAGACTGTTCAGATTCCTCAGGAGTCTTTTTGCATCTCTCACTAAATAAGCAAAACACAGAAAGTAGCAGTGAGATATTGTTTTTAAAGCCAGTATAAAAGGAAACATGCACATCTAAAATATATATAACAGCATTAGATCTACAGCATGCACAATAAACTAAATTTATGAAAAGAGAAACATTTAAACAGTGCCTCATGCTTTACATTTAGGTGCATGTGTTGTGTACAGGCTGCAAAAACAGTATTCTGTGAGGTTTCAGTCAAGTCAGGGAATTAAAAAAGAAAAAAAACAACAAAGTCATAGGTAAACATAACATGGGAGAAAGATAACATTTTTCAGATGAAAAAAATGAGACATCAGCTGTGGCAGATGCAGCCCCGGAGCAAGTGCAGGTAATAGGGAAAAAACTGAGAAGTGCTGGGCTACATGCTGGGGGATAAAGCACTTGGTATTATGTACAGGTTGGACATAGAGAGCATGTCACTGTCAGTTAAAAAGAGGATTTTAGAGTGCATCTGGGAGTCTTTGCCTTACCTACAGATTTCCTCTGCTTTCATCTAACATTGATACCTGATCAAGAAGACCAGAGTCACCAAAATTCAGTTTTTAAATAACAACCTCAACAAAAAAACATAATGCAAACAAACCATGATCAGAAAACAATCGCCCCTCCATGTTTTATTGTCTTTAGACTGTAATTAGCAACCTTCTTAGAAGCTGAGTTCGAATAAGCTAGACTTGGGTCCGTTCATTCCCAGATCCTAAAAATCTGTTCCCATAAATCATGAATTTTAAGTTGTCTACAGACTAAACAGTAATATGACATAAAATACCAAAGCAGAAAATGTAGAAATGAAGGTCTAATAAGTCAAATCAAAGATAAAATGTGTGAAATTATTTTATCCTACCTATTTAGCTTTTTGTCCTTTAAAACAAAGTCAGAAGTAAAGAGGTTTGGTTTTCCCAGATATTAATAAAACCAAACTCCATTCAATGAACATATCCTGCTAGCTTAAAACTTACTCAGGTTGTCTGTGTCTGATATTAAAGATCTGTTAAATGATCTGAAACTTGTGACAAAAAAAACAACTCAGGAAGGGAGAAAACACTTGTTTTTTTTCACCTGGCTCTATCTCCCTTCATATACAGGAGATAAAAACAGATCTGGACAGCTTAGATTTATCTGTCTGTCTAGTGTTATGTCTCAGTTATGTTACTCTTCTGTCCTGAAGGTAGATCTGAGGAAAATATCAGCCTAACAGGATGGTGAATATGCAGCGTTCTTCCTCTGGTGTTTTTCTGCATCAGTAGAGGGTATTATATAACAGGATAGTCTATACAGGTGCTGGTCATAAAATTAGAATATCATGAAAAAGTAGATTGATTTCAGTAATTCCATTTAAAAAGTGAAACTTGTATATTATATTCATACATTACATACAAACTCATATATTTCAGATGTTTATTTTGTTTAATTTTGATGATTACAAATGACAACAAATGAAAATCTCAAATTCATCATATCAGAAAATTAGAATATTACTGAAGACCAATAAAAACAAAGGATTTATAGAAATGTTGGCCAACTGAAAAGTATGAACATGAAAAGTATGAGCATGTACAGCACTCAGTATTTAGTTGGGCCTCCTTTGGCCTGTATTACTGCAGCAATGCGGCGTGGCATGGAGTCGATCAGTCTGTGGCACTGCTCAGGTGTTATGATAGCCCAGGTTGCTCTAATAGTGGCTTTTAGCTCTTCTGAATTGTTGGGTCTGGTGTATTGCATCTTCTTCTTCACAATACCCCATAGATTTTCTATGGGGTTAAGGTCAGGAGAGTTTGCTGGCCAATTAAGAACAGGGATACCATGGTCCTTCAACCAGGTACTGGTAGCTTTGGCACTGTGTGCAGGTGCCAAGTCCTGTTGGAAAATGAAATCTGCATCTCCAAAAAGTTGGTCACCTGCAGGAAGCATGAAGTGCTCTAAAACTTCCTGGTATGTGGCTGCGTTGACCCTGGACCTCAGAAAACACAATGGACCAACACCAGCAGATGACATGGCACCCCAAACCATCACTGACTGTGGAAACTTTACACTGGACTTCAAGCAACGTGGATGAAGTGCAACTCTTCTTTTCCTCCAGACTCTGGGACCTTGATTTCCAAAGGAAATGCAAAATTTACTTTCATCAGAGAACATGACTTTGGTCCTGTTTCTCTTTAGCCCAGGCAAGACGCTTCTGACGCTGTCTGTGGTTCAAGAGTGGCTTGACACAAGGAATGCGACAGCAGAAACCCATGTCTTTCATACGTCTGTGTGTGGTGGTTCTTGAAGCACTCACTCCAGCTGCAGTCCACTCTTTGTGAATCTCCCCCACATTTTTGAATGGGTTTTGTTTCACAATCCTCTCCAGGGTGCGGTTATCTCTCTTGCTTGTACACTTTTTTCGACCACATCTTTTCCTTCCCTTCGCCTCTCTATTAATGTGCTTGGACACTGAGCTCTGTGAACAGCCAGCCTCTTTAGCGATGACCTTTTGTGTCTTGCCCTCCTTGTGCAAGGTGTCGATGGTCGTCTTTTGGACAACTGTCAAGTCAGCAGTCTTCCCCATGATTGTGTAGCCTATAGAACTAGACTGAAAGACCATTTAAAGGCTTTTGCAGGTGGTTTGAGTTAATTAGCTGATTAGAGTGTGGCACCAGGGGCCATCAATTTTGAACCTTTTCACAATATTCTAATTTTCTGATATGATGAATTTGAGATTTTCATTTGTTGTCATTTGTAATCATCAAAATTAAACAAAATAAACATCTGAAATATATGAGTTTGTATGTAATGTATGAATATAATATACAAGTTTCACTTTTTAAATGGAATTACTGAAATCAATCTACTTTTTCATGATATTCTAATTTTATGACCAGCACCTGTATGTCTGACATAAAGTACCTGATAAGAAATATACAATCCATTTTAAATATTTAAAAAAGGCTTCACCACAGTTCTGAAAGAAGAAACTAACAAAAAAAGTGGTCCTGGTTCTATATTAAGAATATCTTCAATGTTTGGAAGATGCTTTTTGACAACAGTGAAGGGCTGCGCTAATTAATGATTATGTTTGGAGCTAGAAGGAATTGAATGAGTCATTCACATGGCTGCAAGCAGAAACTCCAAAGAAAATCAGTGATGAATTAGATTAAACAAGTGTGGACAAAGCGGCAGCTAAGAGGTATCAGTGACATGAGAGCAGAGGGCTCATAGGTCAGGCCGGGCTGAGCAATGCAGGAAGAAGACGACCCAGTTCCAGAAGGTGGGAATCCTCAGATTGCCCAAACTACGATGTGGCTGAACACCTGAAGGAGACACAAAGAGACACAAATTAAATGCACAGCAACGTTCTTAACATCCTGTCACCTCAGCAGCTTTGAATTTAAATATTACTAGCATTAAAAGTTCATCCACCCAACTACAATCTATGTATTTTGAAAGAAATTATACTTGGAATTATAATAGCATATAAGACCATTCCTTAATTGAAGACCTGTAGAATACAAAAAACAGATCAAACCAAAGCACAGAAGAGCATCCCCACAGCATGATAGGGCCAACATCCTGTTTAATACTGGGAATAGTGTGTCCAGGGTGATGTGCAGTGTTATTCCTCCATAGCGTATTTATAGGTGAAAATACATTTAATGCTTTGGTCTCATCTGACCATGAAGGGAACATTTTAAGTTATTATATATGTCTCATTTGACCAATTACTGTATATCCTTTTTTTTCCACATTCTTGGTTTGTATGGCATAATTTTGACAGATTATTCCACCTTAGTTGGGGCTCTTTTCAGCTTCTCCAAAGTTATCATTAGCTTCTTGTCTGTGGCTCTGGACGTGTCTTGGAAGGCTGATAGCTGGGCAGCACCAATCTATCATTATCACATAATGACAAGATGCACTATCAATGCGTATGACTGGAAGTGCCATAAATGTAAGCTAATAATTTATTTAGCCTGTCTCTGTATCTGGTGAGATGTGTTTAATGAAGCGTAAAACCTTTTACAAAGTAAAGAAGTGGGTTAAAGGAATAGTACACCCAAAACATGATTAGCCTTCATTTTTCTACTCACCCCCATACTGGGGGGTGAGTAGAAAAAGTACTCTGGAGTACTTTTTTGATATCTCAAATGCATCTGGAGATCTGGGAGGCTTCTTGCTGTCTGCTGACATTCAAATAATGGAGGTCTATGGTGACCGAGACAGAAAGGTCCATAAAAGTCCACAAAAAACGTGTCAATATTCCTCCATACTGCTCGTCCAATGTATTCCAAGTGTCCTGAGTGGGTAGCATCCAGAATTTACTTGAAACGAAGTCATTTAGAATGTTTTTAGAGCATAAACAGTAGTGTATAGGATTTCCTGAAAGCGAGCGCCTGCAAGTTCACAACACTACGGAAACCGCGGCAGACCAAACCGGATGAAAGTGCGCATTCAGCTCGGCAAAGAACTCATGCTCTTCCTCAACACTGAAGTCCTCAGACATTTTTCTTTTGTTGTTTCTTTCTTTGCACAGGTAAACAGCACATTTCTTCTTCTACGCTTGCATTATCGGCAGAGCAGACGCTGAATGCGCACTTTCATCTGGTTTGGTCTGCCGGCTTCCGTAGCGTCGTGAACGTGCACGCGCGTGCTTTCAGGAAATCCTATACACTACTGTTTATGCTCTAAAAACATTCTAAATGACTTCGTTTCGAGTAAATTCTGGATGCTACCCAGTCAGGACACTTGGAATACATTGGACGAGCAGTATGGAGGAATATTGACACGTTTTTTGTGGACTTTTATGGACCTTTCTGCCTCGGGCACCATAGACCTCCATTATTTGAATGTCAGCAGACAGCAAGAAGCCTCCCAGATCTCCAGATGCATTTGAGATATCAAAAAAGTACTCCAGAGTGTTGTTCAGCATTGTGGGTTAGTAGAAAATGAAGGCTAATCATGTTTTGGGTGTACTATTCCTTTAATGGTTAGTTCTTTCAACACCGGAAGCTTTCAAGTAAAACCTCCATAAATAACAGTGTGTAATTTAAATGTAGATTTTTTCATAAAGACAAAATGTTAATTTAAAAATGTTCATTCCAAAAAAGGTTAAAAACAATCCACTGGACTTTGTTTCCCAGTTTGAAGATGTTTCATTTCCCATCCAGGAAAAAACTAAACGTCTTCAAACTTGGAAACAAAGTCCAGTGCATTGTTTTAAACTTTTTTTTTTGGAATGACTATGACCTGAATGACTGAGAATCTTCACCAACATATATAAATGTTAACACATACTCTAAACCCCTACCATTTGTGGAGAATGGATCAAACGGTGCTTTATGTGCTGTCCAAGGGTTGGGATTGTCTTTAGTAGCATATTTCTTGGGCTGGGCGATTAATTGCATTTCAAATATATATCAAAATTCGTCAAAACACAGTTTTCAAATCACACAGTATTAAGACACTGACTTTGTCACCCAGCCCTTTAAAACGCTTAGAGTGGGTTTGCTCTTGCACAAAAAACAGAGTGAGTTGCAGCCAGCATGCAAGTCCATGCATGCACGGAGAAGTAAGCACTGTTCTACACAACAGCAACAGGAAAGTCCAGAGAGAATGGAATGTAGACAAGCAAGCTTTCAAGGTCATGAAAACAACAAAGATTAACATCTGCATGCATGTTGTAAGTGGTGAGGAAACTGTAAATAAAATTTGAACATCGGCTTAAAATAATTTGACTTTTGGTTAAATCTTTCAGCCCTATTTACTTATAAAGTAAACTTTTTGATATCCTGCCTGAGCTGTCTGATGTTTTCCATGGCCTTCATTAGATAAAATACTCATTAATATTCTCCAACAAACCTCTAAAGCCCTCATAGACCAGCTGTACATGCTGGGAAATTATTTTGTGTCTTCTGAGGCAATGTACTGAAATTTTTAAATCCATGCCACACTTTTCTGATTTTATTTTTTAAAAACGTCTCAAAAACTATGTATCTATTGCCTCCTCCATGATAACGCACTTCTGTGTTTTGGTTTAGCACATATACCCTAATTAAACCCTAAATAGCTCACATGGTAGGGGACTGTAAATCTAAGTCATCAATGTTGGGATTGTATTGTTGCTTCAAAATGTGAATGAAAATAGAAACAATGGCTCTTTGTGGGATGTTTTTTCACTTAGAGGAAGCCATTATTTGAAAGCCGCCAACAGAAAGACCATCATGATAAAACACTTCATCCTTTAAGAAATAAATTTAAGAAGCGGCAAAACAAAATCATGGCGGTAAAAATGCCAATACGCTGCCGGGGCGGGATGAATGCCTCTCCAGCCGACCATCCAGATTGTAATTAATGAAAAGAAGTCGTGCAATGCACTTAATGTGCGGCTGCAGCAGGAGACCAGAGGATTCAAAAGACATAGATCAGCGGAAGGTGCTGATCGCCTGTGCTTCAACTCCACTCCACACAAAGGGAGCACTCTTGTCCCGCTGGTACTTTATCTTAGTTCATATTCTGACTCCACTGGGCTGGTTTGGTTATGGCCCTCCAGGGAGAAGAACAAGATAACCACGATCTCTCTAAATCTACCCTCTGGAAGCACTGCATTCTCACACATGGTGCTTTACTTTTATATATTCTTACCATTGAGAAGAATCGGAGTCAATGGTTATTTGTCTTCAGCGAGAAGGACAGGAAAACAGGCTATAGGAGAACCAAAAAACATAAAAGAGTCACTCTGTGGTTGATTTACTGCCTGACCAGAACAGATGGCTTTATAAGGGCTTACCTTATGGTCCCCCATGCAGACATTAGGACCAATTGTGTTGTAAACAACACCCTTTCCTTCATCATCGTCTCTCTAAAACAGAAAAAAACTTGATGTTTATCTGATCACGGAGCAGAATTCCACATTCAACTACATTATGAAAAGTGTCTACTGTTTAATTTACTTGATTTTACTTAAATTTCATCCGGAAATAGCATCAAATGCTCCCAGATGTTGGGAATTTTGATTTCTGCACTTTTAAACCAAAAAACAATTTTAAGAAACAAAAAATATTGTCATTTAGTAACCATGGTGACAGTTTAGTATTTTTCATGATACATTTGAACTGTTTTTTATTCAGGCTGCACAAACAACAAAAGAACTTCAATCCTAAAGATAAGAATTGGGTTCAAAAGTCTGACTTAATTATGAATTTTCTCGGGTCTATGTAGACCTGCATGCCCAGGTCTGTTTCACTGTTTTCACTGAAACAGACCTGTACTGTGCATGCCCAGGTCTGTTTCACTGAAACAGACCTGGGCATGCACAGTACAGGTCTGTTTCACTTTTAAAGTTAGTTTTGCATTACACAGTGAATAATATAATTAATGTGGACATAAACTATATTATTTAACTTCACCTCACATGGAAAGCTAAACCACATTTAGGTGTTTCAACATGGCAGTGAATCCAAACACATCAGAGCTGGTTGTGGAATAAACGAAAGATACAGAAATTGTGTTTTTTGGTATTAAAAATGAGTGATTTATGCTGAAAAGCCACGTGTATGTTAGGAAACCAACCAGTTTAAAAGAAGTCCACCTGGAAGAGCAGTCAAAAACTCATACAGCATTAAAAATGTTCAGCTAATTCTTGTTTTATGCTGTTTTAAGGTCAAACTGACCCGGTTGATGAAACTGTGGGCAGCATGAGACATGAGGATACGATCGCACCAGGCGGGACAGCGAGTGTTCATGTACTGTTTCGGCTGTTGATGGTCCTCACTGTATGGGTAGCTAAACAGGATTCAAAATAAAATTAGTTTCGGACGCACCTGGAGAGGGTTTTATGGATTGATATAATTATTTACTGTGAAAGATTATTCACTCTCACCTGGGTGGAAAGGTGATTTCCTCCTCCTTGGTGACATCATGAAAGGACATGACTTCTTTGTCATATTTTAAAAGCTGTGAGAAAGGAAAAGGGAGAGGTTACGGGTTTTTAAGTGAAATTCACAAGAAAAAGAAAATTACTGCTTCGGTTTCCCTTTTTGCATGTGTCATTTATCACTTTGTGCAGAAGAACGGTGGCAAGTCAGAACCTGAATTTCTTTTGTATAGGATTAAAAAGTCTGGAATGCAGTCTCACCGCTCTACCGTTGTCCTTCCTGAAAACAGCCTGGTGCACGTATTCGAACAGCTTCTCCTCGATCTGCAGCAGCACCTGAAGCAGAGATCAGGGTTTGCAACATGAAAGCTTATCTAAAACAGGCCTGACAGGAAGGTAGATAGTGCAATTACCTGGTGGTCGTTGTCTTTTTCTTCAAATATAATTTTCTCCACTTCAAAATTGCTGTCTTTTACAACATCTGCTTCAATAGTCAGATGCTGGTCATAGCAAACAGAAACCAGTCAGTGGGTTATGTAGTCTTTGTCTAATATCCAGTTCATACATACAGATATATGACCTGGAAAACATTTGTACTTACCTGGACTAATGCCTGTGAGTCCAAACGGAAGTTAAAATCACCAAACAGGAAGAAAGGTAACGCAGTGTAGCGGCTGTCTGATATCCTAGAAGAAGAAAATACATATTTGTATTTCTTTACTGCTGACCTATGACTTTTTACAATTGAACAAAAGGACATAGTTAATTTTATTTATCAAAAAATCTATCATTAAAGCTACAGCGTGTAATAATTCCAAGGATTTAGTGACATAAATGTTATATATTATCTATTTTTTTTATCACATACAAACTGAGAGTCTCAGTCGCTAAAAATTAAAAACTGCAATAAATATTTTACCATACACAGATAGGCCAACACAATGCAAGTGGAAGGACATTGTTACCTTGTTCTCCAAACCCTTACCAACTAAAACACTGATAAGTGATTTATTTGCATTAACCTCTGATAAATGATATCCAGTGTAACCAAATGCTCTAAGCATTTAGCTAATAAGTTCAATTCTAACCATGTCCCCAGTAGATTTAATATAAATTCAGCTGTTATACGAATGCCTCAGAGGTTTCACATTAATGAAAAACAGCATAATGAAAAGACACGAACATAGTGGGAAAATCAAGGAGAAAGTAGTTGAGAAGTTAAAGGCAAGGTTTGGTATATGAAACAATGAAGCATCATATTCTCAAGATGTTTTCTTTTCAACCGACCGAGGAATGCTTCTTAGAAATGATGGAAAAATGAACCAATAATACAGCTTAGAGGCTGAAAAACATATGAATAGGTCAGAAGTTCACTTCACAGCATGGCAACAACTGTAAATGTGCAGCAAGAGCTACAACAGAGTGGTTTAGATGAAAGCATAAACATGCATCAGAAAGTCCCGACAGCTGTGCCCAGCTACTGATCCCACCTGTTGATTACATATCTGAGGGCGTTCTTGCGGTTGGCTGAGTAAATGGATGGACTGGAGTTGACGGCAATGAGGTTGGAGGCATCATGAAATAGGTGGATGTTGACCAAGTCGAGGCCCCTGTAAAAAACACAAGCAAAGTTGTACCAGAGGAGAGCAGGAAGCAACCTGGTATCAGATAACAGGGTACATGTGAGGTCACCAGAGTGAAGATGTGAACACGACGTAATCCAGATGTGTCTTTACAAAATTTTATCGGGATACTACTGCCAGAAAGTCCGCAAACAGGAATGTACCAACAATTAGCCCTACATAATGAGCTAAAAATATACAACTAATTACTGCAGAGCAAGGTAAAACTGCACCGCATAGACAGGTTGTTTTTACTTTGTAGTAGGATAATCATGAAAAGAGTGACACAAAAACTTGTATGATATTCTACGTTATTGAGATATACCTGTATTCATCATGTGATCACCAGATTACAGCATAATAATGATGAAATTGTTATGTAGGAAATAATTATCAAAAAAAATGTAAAAAAAAAACATTTTAGGGGCTTACTATTTGATTTCAAATCCGCTTCTTCCCAAATTAGTGCTCCAGGTTCTTTTCAATAAGAAATTGATGTTATTTTTATTATATATTATTTTTTATTTCTCTAAATGAAAAGTTTTAACCCAGTCCTACGTTAAAACTATTCACTTAGGTTTTGCAGAAAGTTCAAACAAAAGAAAAATTAGGAATCATCAAGATAATGAAGCTGGATTCCAGTGAAACACATGCTTTAAGTTTGATCATCTGCTTTATGGGTGGTAAGGAATTACGCTTGCATAGCCTCTTCCCATAATTTTGGGATGGTTCTCTATATATTAATGGTGTCAAACCAGCTAAAAAATGGGTCTTGATTGTTTTACTCACATAATTCCCCTCGTACCTGGTCTGTATATCAGTTTTGCGTGTGCTATTACATTTTCTAAGTGCTTCTCTACATGCAAACCCTTTGAACCCGAGTTGTTTTCCAGAAAATGAAGAAAAATTGTTTCTTGTGAGAAAGTACCTTTTCTGTTTAACCCAAAAGTGAGGAAAATTTCAGGTGAACTCTGAGGGCTGAAGCTCTTATAAATCAGTCTGTCATTGCGCAAAAACTTGGAATAATGAGCACATTTAAAGATAGGAAATAACAGAAGCTGAAATGTTATGAGTAAAGCCCTGCAGTGTGTGTTACTGGATGTGTTACGCACTGGTTGTGGATGATCCAGCGGGTCCTCATGAAGCCCTTTCTGGACCACTTGAACTGCAACACAGACAAATGGGATAGAATCACTAAACAGCAGGGAGCAGAGAACCAAACTGATAATCATTGATTCTCGCAGATAATTTGTCTCATTTCTCTGTCAGACGACTGCATCGGCCCCCGTGGACTCATTTTTCCCAGCACCTCCTTTCCTCCCATTAGTCCCCCCCCTTCCCTCCACACACTCTTGCATACATACTTACATCAGGCCAGAAATCTTTTGGGAATTTTTCTTTCTCCACGGTGGCCACGCCGTCCAGTGAGCCCACATACTTGGTCTGTCCCACCACGGCTTTAAAATCCTTAACTGGGAGCAGGGGGGTGGCAGAGTGAGGGCGGTGACATGTAAAAGAGTGAGAAAACATGGAAACGGCGATCAATAAACTGGTGTTAGCCTCATCAGAGCGGCATACGTGATGAGAGAATCTATAAGCGGGAGCCATTAGACTTCGTTTGGCAAACAACGATCAGTTTGGGGCGCACAGCGAGTGGCATCTCCATGTTTATGGCTCTTCTATAAGCTTTTCTGCCCTGCTTTTTCACATCTAACGTGACTGGACTATACAGCAGCAGAAATAACATCTCCACTTTGAATTTGAGTACTTTGCAAACACCTGCCTGGGCAGTAGAGCCATCAAACTATCATTACATAGAAACATCTTCAAAATATACCATAAAAAATGACAGGAATTTTGCCAATCATATGCAAAAAGGTTCCTATCCCTTACGGGGTGGAAGCAATTGATCAAAACTGTGAGTTATGCTGCTTCTAAATGAGTTTCAATCACTTATAAAACAGGATTGCGAGAAGGCAAAGATATGGAAATATTCATCCCAACCTGAGATGTTATATACAGATAGCATCTCAGGTTGCATTTGTCGGATGCATTCGTCACATTTAATGTTTTCTTACCATTAAAGTCATAATGATAGACGTTTTTCAGTGTCCTGTGGATAAAGTACATGCAGCCCAAAGCCTGTAGAGAGAAAGAAAACAAAAGATCAGGAACAGGAGCCTAATAAGTGGCGAGCAAAAAACACTATTTTTCATCAAAAACAACATTCAAAAAGGAAACTAAATGGGATTTTCCAAGAGGAAAAATATTTATTAGTGGCATTTTTTACACTGAAGTTAAGAAACCGTAAAAAATAATCTACAGTAGCTTGATAACTAAGAGCATTTTTTGTTTGCTTTTGTTTTTGTTTTTTTTATTTGAGAATTCTTCATATTTTAAATTAGTGATGAATAATTTTTGTTAAATTGTGAAAAACACTAAAAAAGGTAGATATACACTATATTGCCAAAAGTATTTGCTCACCCATCCAAATTATTGGAATCAGGTGTTCCAATCACTTCCATGGCCACAGGTGTATAAATTCAAGCACCTAGGCATGCAGACTGTTTTTACAAACATTTGTGAAAGAATGGGTCGCTCTCAGGAGCTCAGTGAATTCCAGCGTGGAACTGTGATAGGATGCCACCTGTGCAACAAATCCAGTCGTGAAATTTCCTCGCTCCTAAATATTCCACAGTCAACTGTCAGCTGTATTATAAGAAAATGGAAGTGTTTGGGAACGACAGCAACTCAGCCACGAAGTGGTAGGCCACGTAAACTGACGGAGCGGGGTCAGCGGATGCTGACGCGCATAGTGCGAAGAGGTCGCCAACTTTCTGCAGAGTCAATCACTACAGACCTCCAAACTTCATGTAGCTCAAGAACAGTGCGCAGAGAGCTTCATGGAATGGGTTTCCATGGGCGAGCAGCTGCATCCAAGCCATACATCACCAAGTGCAATGCAAAGCGTCGGATGCGGTGGTGTAAAGCACGCCGCCACTGGACTCTAGAGCAGTGGAGACGCGTTCTCTGGAGTGACGAATCGCGCTTCTCCATCTGGCAATCTGATGGACGGGTCTGGGTTTGGCGGTTGCCAGGAGAACGGTACTTGTCTGACTGCATTGTGCCAAGTGTAAAGTTTGGTGGAGGGGGGATTATGGTGTGGGGTTGTTTTTCAGGAGCTGGGCTTGGCCCCTTAGTTCCAGTGAAAGGAACTCTGAATGCTTCAGCATACCAAGACATTTTGGACAATTCCATGCTCCCAACTTTGTGGGAACAGTTTGGAGCTGGCCCCTTCCTCTTCCAACATGACTGTGCACCAGTGCACAAAGCAAGGTCCATAAAGACATGGATGACAGAGTCTGGTGTGGATGAACTTGACTGGCCTGCACAGAGTCCTGACCTCAACCCGATAGAACACCTTTGGGATGAATTAGAGCGGAGACTGAGAGCCAGGCCTTCTCGTCCAACATCAGTGTGCGACCTCACAAATGCGCTTCTGGAAGAATGGTCAAAAATTCCCATAAACACACTCCTAAACCTTGTGGACAGCCTTCCCAGAAGAGTTGAAGCTGTTCTAGCTCCAAAGGGTGGACCGACGTCATATTGAACCCTATGGATTAGGAACGGGATGTCACTTAAGCTCATATGTGAGTCAAGGCAGGTGAGCAAATACTTTTTGCAATATAGTGTATTTCTGGCTACAAACATTAGGACCAATAAGTCGGTGAGCAGGAAGGTAAGACGGGAGAGAAAAGGGTGGAGGATGTGTGATGCTGTGGGCCTGTTTCTCCACCAAAAGTCACAGAAACATAGTTTAACTCCTTAGAATACCAGGATTATTCTGCTATTAGCCCCATCAACAAGGCCCAGGTCCACTACTGACATTCTCCTATTGGAGGGAAAAACAAAACACATCTCAGCAGATGTCTATATATATCATCTAGTTTTATACTGTTGTTGTTAAATAATTGCCCCTGTGCTTTTAATATAAAAGTTCAATTTGTTCACTCTAAAGTTTCATGCTCCCATATTTATTTATGTTAACTTTATGTTTGCTTGTCCATGTGTAGCACCTTATCACCAAAATAAAGTCATCATATGTGTAAAAACACCAATTCTGATTTCTATTAACCTCATTCTTTTTCTATAGAACCAAGATCCTATAGAAAAATATGGCATAAAGCACAGAGAGGAGAATATAAAAGGAGAATTATGATTCTTGATGATCAAAAGAGATCAGGTAAAGAGGAATGCTCAAGGATGCATCTGTCTATATGCTCCAATAAACCTTACAGAAGAAGTTTTTAAACCTGCTTTCCCTTTATTCAAAAGTATTAATCCTCATGTTTTTAAAGAGAGATTATCGTTAAATATTCATTTGATTTGAACAGAAAGACTCTTTAACAGTGTATCTATTGCAAATATCCTGGCACTGTAACCTACATATAAAAAAAACAAATGTACCTGTAAACATAAACACGAGCCCAATAAAACCTTATCTTCAATTTGGTAGATTTTATTGACATCATAGAAAATCTTCCAGGAACCTCATTAGAGTAATTACTCAAAGTGAAACCAAAACCTACCATGGAAAAAAACCTAAAAATGACACTGATAGGTTATATATTATGTTTCTCTACTGTGTAAAATAATAAAAATAAAAATAAAAATACCGGTACGCATAAAAACTTGAACGTTCAGCCACCTTCAGCCCCCAATGCACAGACTTCAGTGCCCAATCATCCCTGACAAGAGACTGACAATTTTTAATGTACTAACTGCCTGCTCCACTGATCTGATTAATCATGGCCTCTGAAATCAATAACGACAGAAAATTAAAACCATTTAAAAGGTATTAAGCAGTAGGCCTGCTGTCTGCCAACGCCAGCGCTCCAAGCAGAGGGCCGAAAGAAAAATAAGTGAGCGCATGGATGGGTGTAAGGGCATGACAGAAAGCTGAGCAACACACACACACACAGATGATCAGCTAAAGCATGAGAGATCTCTCCCTGAAGAGATCGTTTATCTTCGGTGCCAAAGTCATCCTCGTTTATTAGAACATTGACGGATTCAGTGAACAGCAATTAGTGACCAACTCGTCTGATGTAGAGTTGGACAAAGAGAGCGACTGAGGAGTTTATTTCAATGGGTCTGCAAGAGCTGGAATGTTACTGAGATGTAAGGAAAAGTTAGGCTGTAAGGTAAGGTTCCTCTCCAGAGATTCCCGAAGTGAGGCCTAATTCATGTCCGATTTGTACAGCTGTTACACTCCCTCACATACTTGGCCAAACACCCGTCTTCATCAATCAGGTTTGTGCACAGTTTAATAAAAAAATATTGACTTTCAAGTGATTTTTTATCAAAACACCATTTGTACTGGGGATGCATGCCGCTCTACGTCTGCAGCCCCTGAAAAAGCAGACCCCCCTCCTAAACTCTCTCTCTTGGCTTTATAACTGATGATCCGCAGCCGAGGGGAAACAGATTGAAAATCAATGCAGGTGGCACAACTGAAATGAGAATGAGGCATTATATAGAGGTGGCGGTTGGGGAGGATGGGGGCTGCAACCCTCTCAGAGAGGGGTGCAAACACTAGACTGCAGGGGGAAAAACTTAGTCCCAGCTGTCCGCCGACACCCCCGACACACTTAATTTATGGTGCACAAATAGCCTGAGATCGATAGTTTTAATCTAGAGTTAAATGTATTGACTTTGGCTCTGCTCTCTCTCTCTTCCTCACACCTGGTCATTGACTTTCCCCCTTTTTTTGCTTCACGCACCTTTACCCTACAGATGCAGGCATTGACCCCTACTGTCAGGTGCGCTGTGTGAAGGTTTCACCTGGGAGGAGGAAGGGTTAATAGTTAAAGAAGCCACTTTTCTGTAAAGGAGAAGTGTTTCTCCCAAGTGGGACCAAAACTCTGACAAACCCTCCGTGACCAACGGTAAACACAGTAAAGAGATATGAGCTGATTAGCACAACGTGAAGTTAAAAAAAGGTGGATATAAGAAATGATCATGTGAAGGACACTTAGCGGAACATCACACAGCCAGACATGATAAGGTATATAGCAGTAAAAAACTGCTATGGCTACATGAAATTGCAGAGTTGAGGTAAATTATTTTCAATAACAATATATTACAGCAAGTACCTTCTTTTTAAAATGCTGTTCTGGCACAAATCATAAGAATTATGTCATCTAATACATTTATTTGTCAATAATCTTTAGGCCATATCTAAGCCTTCTAAGACTCCATTCAGGTGATTTTTATTAGATCAGAGCAGATTATCCTTTTTGTTAATTTGGTATTTTACAGAGTTGCACAAGCACACCTAACTAAGATAGGGTTGTTAGTAAGGCTTTCTATTTGGGTTCAACAGGAAATGACAACTATCCTATAATTTCCATAAAAAAAATAAAATTAATTGTTTCTGTGAGATATTTTGATGTCAATTTTTTATAAAGCTCTTTAAAACTGCTTATAACTGCACCAAAAAATCTAAACTGTTTTCATAAAACTATCAATGAATTAAGCCCATTTGAATAAAACACATAAAAATAGTTTACAGAATCAGACCTTCTTTAAGTGCTAGGGATATAAATGAGCTTTAAGGAATGATTTAAAATACTCTAAACTTGGGCAGATCTTGCATTGAGGTATACTTTGTTCCACATATAAGGTGCCGCAGCAGCAAATGAGCAATCTCTTCTGCTTTTAAATCTGGTTCTGGGATCTTGGAGTAGTTTATTGTTTGATCGTAGTGCTCGTGAAATTAAGCCTTCCTGCAGAAGAGGTCCGAAATAACTTGCGATAGGAAATAAAAAACTTTAAAAACTAATAGAAGTATTTTAAAATCAATCCAATAAGATGCAGGCTGCCAATGGGGAGAAGCCAACAATCCGCTTATGTATTCATGCTTCTGGGTTCAGTTAAGAGTCGAGCTGCAACATTTTGAATCATTCTTATACTCTGTAGAAAAATATTGGTCCATGTTTTTATATAAAGAGTTACAGTAATCTAAGCATGTGGTAATGAAAGGATGGATAATTTTCCCAAAGTTTTAGAAGGATGATTTTAACTTCACTAGAGTGAAAGAAGCTTAAGTTATAACTTACTCTAGCTTCAAACAACTATCAATTATTACTGTCAGATTTCTAACAGTAGGTTGATAAAAGAGGCTAAGAAACAAATTATGAATGGATTAGGTTTGCAAACCCTAAAAATGCATTCCTCCCTTTATTACCACTAATGCTAAGAATATTTTCTTAAATATTAGGTTTAATGAGAGAAACTCTATAGGTTTTTTTATGTAAATAATTTAAAAGTTGATCTGCATTAACATATGAAATGATTGTGGTAAATGCACATCACTGCATGAGGCACACAAAATTACAAAGAACCCATAAGATGTAATTTTTGGTATTATATATATCTACCTTTAAAAAAAAAACAGTAGGGAACATGTAAACATCAAACAGTTCACTTAGGAAGTAACACTGATTCACCATTGATTTCACATGCTGTTATGTAAATGGAATAAACTACAGGTGGAAATTATTGGCAATTAGCAAGACACACTCAGTAGAGGAGTGGGTTCTGCAGGTGGGGACCACAGACCACTTCTCAGTACCTGTGATTTTTGGCTAATATTTTGGTCAATGTCATGTTATTTTGAATGGTGGTGGTGCATTCACACTCGTGCAGTGGTGTCAAAAGTAACCTCATTTTTTACTTAAGTAGAAGTATACATAATGCAGTTTCAAAACACTGGTAAAAGTTGAAGTATCAACTTGACCTCTTTACTCAAGTAAAAGTGAAAAAGTATGTGCTCCAAAAACTACTTAAAGGATAAAAGTATAAAGTAACCTTTTAAAAAACAGCCAGATGCCACTATATGAATTGAAAGCTCAATTTTTCAACTATTATGAAAAAATTATTTGAGATAGGGCCAAGGATGAGGGAGGTCTTGTTGGTCTCCGTCTTCATCTCCCGATATGCTCTCGCCTGCGTCTGACCTTTCAGACATTATATCATTAATATAACAAGTAGCTCCATTGGTCATATTTTAATCCGTTTTCCTCATTGATACGCAGTTGTACAGAGCGAGGCGCGCTCCCGCGACTGGGGACGCATATCTCGGCAGCACTTTTCTGCATAACACGGTCCGCTAATCCCTGACCTCTGTATTAAATCGAAGCGAAGAGTAACGAGTAATGGTTGTTTTAAAAATGTAAGGAATATAAAGTACAGATACTTGTGTGAAAATGTAATGAGTAGAAGTAGGAGGAAAATAAGTAATGGAGTAAAGTATAGATACCTTTGCACTCGTGGTAGCATGAGATGGACTCTGCAACCCACACAAGTGGTTCAGGTAGTGCAGCCCATTAATGTGAGCTGTGGCAAGAAGGTTTGGCTTTGTTTCCTGCGAGATGAGATCCTCAGACACTGAGAGACCATACGCTGGTGCAGTTGGCCCTGGGTTTCACCTATTACAGTACAATGTCAGACCTCATGTGTCTAGAGTGTCAGTAGTTCCTGCAAACTTGAAGAATTGAAGCTATGAACTGACCCGCCCGTTCCCCAGACCTGAATCCAATTGAACACATCTTGGAAAATCATGTCTCGATCAATTCACTAACAGCACATTGCACCATAGACTAATACTTTTGATTTCCATTAATGATTTTTGTGTGATTTTGTTGTCAGCACATTCAACTTCGTTCACAACAAAGTATTCAATGAGGCTATTTAATTCATTCAGATATAGGATGTGTTATTTGAGTGTTCCCTTTATTTGTTTGAGCAGTGGATTTCTAAGTGTCGGGTAGTGTTGGACAATAATTCAAAATCAATATATATTGCAATAAGATTTTATCCAATAGTGATACAAATGTTACCATATTTCAGTAAACATTACAGTCTATCATTACAGCATTTTGAGTTTTGTGTAGTTTTGATTTTTAAAGCAAATTCTTCAAAAATTTTATATTCAAGTAAATTTATAAACATGGGTTACACCTTTAGGCATCTGTGGTGGGTATTTCTAACAGTCTATCTGAGGCTTTTGATTTGTTTATATTGATAAGGAAATTGTTTTGCATCAACAGAAATTAATAAATATATCATTATATAAGTTTTGGCCATATCATCTGGCCTTAGCGTCAGTTATGGTGTCTTTTAAAATTCATATTTGGCCTTAGTTAGAGATGCGCTTCTATATCATTGTCAATAACGGACCCAGTATTAAAAAAATAGCCCTTTATGGACATGTTTCTTTGATTTAATAAATCAATTTGAACCCTAACAGCTGCATATTTGTTTTGGATGGAATTTGTCCTGTTAATATGATTTACTGTTTTTATGAGTTTCTTTTTGAACTCATGATAATCTCAGGTTGCATTTTAATCTATAAATGTCTACATTGATACAAATCATGTTTGCTTGTAGAACAGAGTTTATTATCAGTACTGATGTAAACATTAAAGCAAACAGAGCTCTGGTATGAGAAAAGTATTGGGATTATCAGATGTCCAAACTCAATTATCAGATCAGAATCGAAAAAGTGTGGAACAGTTCACCCCTACTTTCAGTGTTCATCCATGATGCATATCTTTAATGACTGAGATGCTAAAGCACATAAAAGCAAAAAGAACACTGTACAATGGTAGAGAAGCAGTTTTATCATCTTTAATAAAGGCAACACCAGATCATTAAACCAATACCTCACTTCTGGGCAAGTTCAATCAGAAGAAATAGTACAGCTAAAGATTACTGCAGTTGTGAAACCATAACCTCTTTGAACCATGGCATATCTCGATACTTCTAACTGGCCTAAAGCTGGTCACAGCAACCTAAAATCACTTTATAATTTTGAGGAGAAATATATCAGACTGCAGCTATGGACAGGAATTCTTGGGTCGGTAAATGAAAGCATCACGGCTGACCAAAAAAACCTGTCTTTAAAAGCATCTCATCTCTCTGTGCCTGCACCGTGTTACAGCTCCAAAATTGTTTCACACTATATCTATAAGATCCATACAGGAAAGTAGTGATTTTGAACGCTGCTCATATAGCAGAGGAGCTTTGATGTATGAAGTTCTGCAAAATGAAAAAAATGAACACGAAAAAAGAATATATAGAAAACAAATTGATTCAGACAATATACCTACAATATGTTTTTTTAGTATAACGAAAAATAGAAGTTATTTATTGTTGTTAAAGATTCAATACTCTTTTAAATAGAAAAAAGGATGCTTTCCAGGTTTTCTATAAAGCCCTCCCAGTGTTTATCTGAGGTGATCTTGTAATGCAGCCAAATGTTTTTGTTTTGCATTGATATCAGCTAATATCTGCCCTAGATTTACATCAGGGATCAGACTGCATTGAATGCCTGCACCTGTTCTGGCTGTTTTTTTGGAGGAGAGCGCCATCTTGTGGAAACAGTCTGGAAATACCTGGAACTCAGGTTTCTTACCGTAAAGTTGTCCTCTGCCTGGAACCGGGTGTCCACATAAATGCAACTCCTGTTGAACTCTTTCATTTCCTCACTGGACTCTATGTTACTGGATAGGGTAGGAAAATTGGTGTTTGGGTGTAAGACAGTCGAATCTGCTAATTGCTGACAGTAGTTATTAATCATGCTGGAGTTTTTTTAAGCTTCCTTTACCAAAAGAAGTTTTCTGCCTTGTCCATGTTGACCATGTAGTCCTTTCCACCCACCTCCTGGAAGTGCAGGGCGATGAACTGTGGCTTGTATTTCTGGATTGTCTGTTTCAAACCAAATAAAGTGAAATGTTTAAGCTCACTTTACAAAGCACTGACATGTGAAGAGGTTGGCCGATGCTTTAAGGCTGAAGATTACAGTTCATTAGAGGACTTACAGCAAATATTTCCATCTTTGGAAGAGAGACAAAGCGGGCCAGAATTAGCAAAAAATGTGTCTCTTTTACCAACATAGGAAAAATTTCTGAAAATATAAACAGACGTAACACTTCCAATAAAAATGTGAAATGTTTAAACTTACTTTATACAGTTCTTCTAACCATCCATTTTGGATGTCATCCACCTTCAAAAGAAAGAAGTATAATTATTTGATTCAAACATCTTATCAAACAATTATTTGTCAGTTTCTTTCAATCTGAAATAGAAATATTTTTGCTAAGTTTTGCTAATCTGACCACAATTTTATTCAAAATCATACCAAAAACAATACATTGCTAACATACAATATGGTAAAATCTAAGTCTCCTGGACAAAAAGAGATCTCTGTTTGGCTTTACAGAAGTTAAATAAATCAAACAGATGGAAGAATTTAATTCAACTAGCAGTTTCTGTCATTTTCATTACTTTTTTAGAAAACCCTTCTTAAAATGTTCAGTTTACTAAAACTTGCATCTAATTGCCGCAGCATAAATATCAGACTGAGATCTGGCTTTGACTGATTACAAAACAGGTTATTTTACTAAATACTGCTCTTTGTGTTAGTTGTGTCTTTGAGATTATAATTGAGTTTAAGAGCCCAACATAGTTCAGCTTCAGCTGTTAAATAACTTATATTTAACCAATTATACATGAGAAAGGGTTTAATGGTGTTTAGTGACAATATGATACCTTGCTGAACCCATCAGGCCTCCAGCCCTGTGCTTGCAAGTTGTTAATAGACGTTTATGTTGACTTGTTTTGTAGGTTTTTCTCCACCTTTGTGCAATAAAATCAGACATCTCCACTTTGCCCTGACCTCTGCTAAGAGCATTTTCTTCTTCTGAATGTGCTGACGTTGGTTAATTTTTAGATGCTGCTTTTACAAAACAAAACGATTCTTCTTTGGCAATCCTTTCAAATAATAGGCAGACATTTCAAGCCAGAAACTTCTAAAGACATCCCATGTAATTATTGAATAAGCCTTTTGTTGTTCGTCTTGGTTAGATTGTTCATGGTCTATCTTTACCTGAGATGTAGAAGTAACAGAAAGCCATTTCCTGGGGGGTCCTTCTTTTCTGCTAAGAAGCCATTTTCATCCCTCATACCCACTAACAGTATAAATTAGTGAGTAAGTTTATCTGAGATGTAACATTTTCTATGTGAAAAAAAATAATTAAGGAAGGTTAAACTTTGTCTCTTCTCCTTGATGCCAATTTGAGCGTAGTTGGTAACAAATGGGGGCTCATTCAGTGCTTTTTCCAGTTCCTTGGCAGTTGTTTTTTGATTATTCAGTGAATCTAATTTAGGTCTGGGCGATTGATTGCATTTGCAATTTCTAGCTTTTTTTTATTGTTATTACACTGTCACAGGTACAGAGCAACGAAATTAACCTTCTGCAGTTAACCCATCCCCTTGGGGCGCAATGGGCTGCCATTGTGTGGCACCCAGGGAGCAGTGTGGGGTTAAGGGTCTTTGCTCAAGGAACCAGAGTGGCAATCTGTGGGAGTGGGGCTCGAACTCAGAACCTTGTGATTCTAGGCTCTATGCCCTATCCACCACCACTCCCCCAATAATATAAGTACAATTTATCAAAACACAAATTGCAGAGACACTCACTTTTGTTCTCGCTACATTTAACAAGACTAAGAGACAAATTTTTTGTCACTCCAGCCACTTAAGCGGTAGTAATATGCTCAAAATGGTTTTGCTCCCACAAAAAAGAAAAAGCTAGCATGCAGATTTACACATGCAAGTAGAAGTATGAATTTTTTCCAAGCAAAGGTTACAGTAAAGTCCTGCAAAAATAGACTACAGACAAGCAAACTCTCAAGGTCATGAAAAAACTGAAACCCTAGAGGGAAATATCTACATGCTTGTGGCAAAGGAAAGAAAATATACATAAAATCACAATTGCAATGTTGGTTGAAAATCTAAATTGTGCGGGGGGGGAGAAATCCTTTCTTGTTCATTCATATCAGTACATAGTTTAGTTTCTTATCAGATTTATTGGCCTGTGTGTCACCACTGAATAAAGATTATGATTATAGCAAGTTTATTTGATTAGTTAGTCAGTTAGGGGAGAGAAGGACCAACAGTTGGGTGTTTCTCTTGGGTGTTTTAGGATCAAAATGATCTGGTAGGTTTTTCCAAAAACTCATTAAGAAAGGCCAGACTTGGACTCCCTTTTTTAAATAAACCTAGGCACATGCCAACGTGCGAATACTGGGTTTCACCAAAATGATGCACGACATTTCAGAGGTAGAAAACTACCTGGTCTTCAGAAACATAAAAAAGAAATACTTTCACAATCAATAAAACCAGGGAATTGGGATGGCAGACCATTCCTGAGATTAAATGTTTAAATTGCCACCTTTTTCATTATACATAGTAGTTCAAAGAACATATGCATGTGATATTTGACCATTGTCAATTAAGATATTTAAACCAGTGTTAGCCTAAAGTCTTTCAGTGAAAATCTAGTCAAATCCTTCCTTTCCATTTCGTCTAGTTTTAGTCTGGAGATTTTAGTCGTTTAGTGTTTTGGTGCCATGAATTGCTTTTAATTCAGATTTAGTCAAATTTTAGTAAATGAGAATCTTGCTAGGACTGAAAAATGAAATAAGCATTGCAGTCAAAAAAATTAACACTTTTTTCCCCCCACATTAAACTCTGGTAGAAACACCAACGATAAGATACACATCTTGATACAGGTGTGAACCAACTCGAAAAATCGCGCTATCTTCATTTATCAAGGCGACACAAAGATTCAGGCACTTGAAATTTGGGCCAGGTTTTCACATTTAAACAACTCTATTAATTTTAACTGAATTGCAGACAAAAAAAGAAGAGATTATGTAACAAAACCTGGAGGAGGACCCCCCCCCCCAACTGGTTTCCCACTACTGGCAAAGAAGCTCAAGCTCAAGTGTCTGGAGAAAAGTAATGACATGATTAGAGCTGTTCTGCATAAGAGCTGAGATACAATTAAGGCAATCAAGCAAATTAAACCCTCTCTAGAAAATTGGTAACAATTTCAATAATCAGGGATCACAAAAGGGTCATTTCAAACCCCGAAGAAACAGAGTGCTCTAAGAGCTCTCCTTAAATCTGCAGCTCCCTCCTCCACATCCTCTATAAACAGACAGTCCATCTCTGACACTGCCAAAACTACAGAAAACAAGCAAAGTTACAAAAATGTAGCAAACGGCTGAAGCTCTCCCTGAGACCCCATGAGGTGGGCTGTGCATAAAAGTCCTCTCACACAAAGGATTGTGGGCAACCGTACAGATCTTTGAGGTGGCAAGTGACATCAGGAGGTCCCTGTGCTAAATAAATTGGCACTAGGAAGCAAGGTCTACCTCATCCTAGCTCCTTCCTTACTGCTAGCAGTTTTTGGAAACCACTTATTATCATGACCACGGACACGCTTCCAACATGGTTTAAGTGTCCTTACAAATTTGATGTATTTGGATCGAACCTTAGTCAGTGCTAAGTCTAGTAAAAGCTTCCTGGATAAACTACCAAAGTAAACAAGTCAAACTCAAAGCAAGACCACTTTATAAAACCCAAATAACAATTAAATAAGCCAGACTTGACCAGCTAAGCCTCCAGTTTAATGAAACACCTCTCAGGTTTTCATCTCTGGCTGCAGAAGGACATCAAAATGTTCTCATGTTTGATTATGTGATGATGATGTGTGTAGGACAGTCAGTTATAGAGGTTGTGTGGTTTAAAAAGTTGAAAATGAGGAGAATATTAGTCAAATGGCTCCAATTTATTCCTGGGAAACTGGGACACTTTGTAACTTTGTGCTTTGATAGAAAACTTACCAGAAAAAAAAATGAAGAGTATAAAAAGATATTTTCTTTTCTTTCTTAGTTTTCAGACACCCTAACTCTTACAAGTTTAACTGAGCCCAAACTGGTATAGGAGATCCTGCACCGGTTTGGCAGCTATTCTACTGCACTACATACCAGAAGAGCATGAAGGAAAACACTGCAGTTCCTTCATGTTCAAATGTGTCCTCCTTATACTTGCTTAAGCGAGATCAGCTCTTTGACCTTAAACATTCTTTTGTAGAGTTGGTGAGGTCACCAAGATCAATTCCTTGATGTTGCCGTATTCGGGTTCCTTTGTAGTTATGTTAAAGTGGGTGAAATTTGTCAGTAAATTTAATTCACTGAAGGGTTAGCAGCCAATGCTCTCCTTTATCATTCCATTAGACCATGCTCTCACACAGTCATGTCTTCTGGTTTGAAGAATGCATTGGCACCACTCTAAGACCGATAAAGAATTTTACGGACTGAGTTTGCCAAGGCAACAGTCACACGTCTATCTTCCACATCTATCTAGTAAGAGAGAGCTTATAAGGTTTTGGAAATGGTTTACTACTGCAGACAATGATGCAGGAAGTGAGCTACTTGCAAATATGGGCCATTCAAATAGCAGGTAAATGATGCTAAGTTGTGGATCAGAGCTGTTCTGTTTTAAGAGGGACAGGATAAAGTTGACCTTACAGTCATTATTTCACCCAGGAAGTTCAACAAGTAAACAACTCGATAGTGGAGAGTGGAGCACAAACTTTGATACTAGCATAACATTTTGATGATAATAATGATGAGACGTGGACACTGGCAGGCTAATGGACCAAAACATCCACCAGAGATTAAATCACTGTGACACTGCAGCATGGCGCAGTGGGTAACAATGCTGCCTTGCAGCAAGAAGGTTTCGGGGTCTTTCTGCGTGGAGTTTGCATTTTCGCAGTGCATGTGGGGGTTCCCTCTGGGTACTCCATGTACTCAGCAGCACTCCAAAAACATGACTGTTAGATTAATTGGCTTCTCTAAATTCTACTTAGGTGTGAGTCTGTTCATGAATGGTTGTTTCTCTGTGTTTTCCTGCAATGGACTGGCAACATTTCCAGGGTATACCCTGCCTCTTACCTGTTCCTGAGCTCAGACAGAAGTGGGTAATCAGCTTGAGAACAGCGGCTCAGAGAGCCCCAACCAGGACGAGCCGACCAGCTATGTTGCCCTCTGTGGCTAACAAACCAAAGAAGAGGCAGCAGGAAATAGTGGGACCCAACCACCAAGGATTAAAGTAGAACGGCAGAAAATCAGAGTAGTCCACCTGGTGGAGAGA